CCCAGCTCTGATCCTATCACAGCTGCATCTTGGCCTCCTAAAGTGCGTATCACTTGTGTTTGGATCAAAGGGGTCTGGTGACCACCTTGTGCTCTCCCCGAGGCGTGAATCGGGAGCTGGCATAAGTCAGTGCAGCTCCACGATCGACTGCGGAGCACTGCTGACGGGTGGCAGCTGAGGGGAGCGGGCCCCGTGCTCCCCCTCCCGCGCACATATGCTTTACCTGATCGGCTAGTAAACAAATCTTCCCCAGCTGAGCCTGTACAGCTGGCATCACGGCTGCCTTCGCCCGCCCACGGCCTCACAGCCGCCGCGCCACCATCTCGGCACATTTGGCCTCCCACTGTGCAGCTTTTGATGGCACGGTGCTGGGTGCGATTTGAGGCCCCTAATATGCAGGGCCCGGTCCAAAGTTGGCTGAGACTAATGGAAAGGCTCCTGCTTTCATTCACCTCCATGGAGAAACCTTTCTCCTGTCTGTCCTGGCTGGGTTCTCTCTCTCCCATCCTGCCAAGCTGAACCTATCCCATGCACTTGGCATTTTGGGACAATGCAGGAGTCGTGTCCTGTTCTAAGCTGCTGTGCAGTGCTGTAGTGCCCCGTCATCCCCATCTACCACAGTCCTCCTGGGACATGAGTGTGGCTCAGGGACGGGGGAGAGACTAGGATTCTGCAAAAGCCAAAATCACACCAGGGGTGATGGCACGAAGAGACGGTCCAACTTGCCCCTCTGCTCGTCATCCTGCCTTGTTCTTTAGGTCTGTGCACAGCCCCAGTGTGGGGGTAGCTTGACTGAGGGAGGTGTTCATAGATGTGACTGCAATATGCCCCCCGGAGACCATTCAGACTGCAGAGGCCATCGGTCTGCCTGGTCAATAGCCTGCCTCTTTGGCCTCATCTGACTCCCATTGCGGTCGATGAGCATGATTGCATTATCTCCGACAGGGGCTTGAGCAGGCCCCTCAGAGCCAATAGCTGATGCTTCAGGGAAGAGAGCCCTGTGTGTGTCATGCATGTATTCTGCCTACATACCACTGTGCCTATTGGGGCACAGCTAGGCTGTTTATCACCATGTTACCAAAGATCCACTGGTGTCTTGTGTGCAGAGAAATATTGAAGTAATATTCTTTTTATCTTAATTATACTGGGCACGTGCATGTGTGTGTACACACACATGAAGACACTGCAGCTGCAAATGAAAGTCATTATGGTGTCTTGGGAGACCTGAGCCCTGAACCTTATTTTGGGTCCAGGTGCATGATAACATGACAGTGATGCGTTGCATTTACCCTTTCTGTGATCAGCTCCTGGTATATCTGTCACGGTACCACAGAGGGAGGATGCTGGGTCCACTGTGGCAATCGTGAGGGTTCATATGCTTCCTGGAAGCTGTTGCCCTGCCACGATGAGCTGCGCTGTGTAGGCCAGTGCCTGTCATCGGGGATCTCTGAGGCCTTTGGAGAATCTTGCTTTAAACCTCTTGCAGGGTCCCTGCCTGGTCAGCAGAGAGGTGGCCTACTCGCATGATTTCTACTCCCAGCTCCAATGTGACTCTCCCCTGTGGGGTGGATGGTTGAGCTGCTTATCCCTTCTGTGCCTCTGTTTCCCCCAGCATTCAATTTTTGTTTGTCTACACAGACTAGAGGTTGCAAAGGTGCCCAGTGATTGCGTGTGCTTGAGCTTTTGTAAGCAGTTTCCGTGAGTTCAGTGCCCAACGGTGTCAGCAAATTGGGGACGCAGAGGAGCTGACTCATTTCCAAACTCACCAGTAGAGCTGGGTTTGCAGAACTGGAAATTAGAACCCAGGTGTCCCAAGCCCCAGCTTTGTGCTCTAGACATTAAGCCAACCTGTGCAAAAATGCTTGCAAGGGTGATGAGTACATCCTTGCAGGAGGGGGGTGTAGGGACTGGCTTTGGAGAGAAAGGGGACAGGGGGCCCCTCTGTGAGTGTATGCCTTTCAAGGCCTGTGTGGTACAGCACGCATATGCATTTCCTTGCATGCCTGAATGTTCCCCCTTCCCTTTCTCTTGCCACCCCATCCCCCTGCAGTGTGTGGCCAAGTGTCAGGTGGCATGGAGGACGAGGGGGAGTCGCAGGCCGGCTGGATCGAGGGGGCGGCCATCCTGTTCTCAGTGATCATCGTGGTGCTGGTGACTGCATTCAATGACTGGAGCAAAGAGAAGCAGTTCCGGGGCCTCCAGAGCCGAATCGAGCAGGAGCAGAAGTTCACGGTCATTCGCAAGGGGCAGGTGATCCAGATCCCTGTGGCTGAGATCGTGGTGGGGGACATCGCGCAGATCAAATACGGTGAGCAAGCAGCGGTGCTGGGTGGTGCCAGATAGGTCCCATGGCATGGCGTGCACTCCGAGCCCCTTTGGGATGATCTGGGTTTAAATCGGGCAAACAGGAAACCTCAAATCTTATCTTGCTTGACATGTTCTATTTTTTGTTACCTTGATTAAAATGAGGTTAATTCTCATTGGAGAGTAATCAAAAAGCCTGTTGATTGGCAGCTAAATATACCCTTTACAATAAGTTTGGTGGAACTTCTTCTAACCAAGAGGCTACCCTGTATCTATAGGTGCACTTTTATTTATGCAAGGGTGTAGCTGACACACTTGTTTGGTTTCTTAACATTGACATTTCTGGTTATGCTGGAAAATGGGGTATGATGAACTTCTTATTTTGCTACACTATTTTTAATGCTCGTAACTTGTAGCAGGCATCGTTTTGGATGGATCCTGAAATACATTGCTAGCCTTTCGAGAGTCTCTCAAAGAACAAGAGGAAGAAAGCTGTTACTGTATATAAGGAAAAAGTTCTATAAATCCATGTTTGACAGCTAAACCCAATTCGTTGTATTAAACAAAGCAAATATTTGTTTCCAGGCACCATTGCCTTAAAATTGTAGAGCCAGTAGATGTCAACCTTGATTAGAACTTAGCTCTAGTTTTTAAACTGGAAGGAAAAAACAAGTGCCTTTCTAGCTTTTCCTTGGTTTCTTAACTCCTTTTAATGAACTGATCATTGATCTAAACTAGCTGAATACGTGGTAATTGATGAGAAGTAGCTCTATATCTGTAGGAGTTAATTCTCTCAAAATGTTAGCAAATTGTGGTTCTAGGTATGTAGTGACTCCCACAGTGTCAGTAGTCTGATTCTCTTACTTAAAACTTTGGCAGTAAGTTGGTACTACTTAAATACTTTGTTTTAATCAAAACGATTAACCGCTTGTGTTGGTTGTCAGAGTTGCAGATAAGTCTCTCCCATATTCTTCTACATTTTAATTTTTAATTTTTTTTATTCTGTTTTTATTAACCCATTGCATCTATCTGCTTCAAGTCACTCTCTCAGTAGAAACTGCCCACCAAATCCCTTTTGCTTAGAGTTAAGCTCTAGTTGCACTGATAAAAGGCTTCTGCTCTAATTGGCCATCCCATCCTCCTTCTGGGGGCCTCCATTGCCTTGCATTACTGGGAATTCATCAGTGAGATGACTTGGAGTATCCTCATATGCCCCCCTCCACTGTGCTACCTCTCTTCCCTCAGCTTGACCCTGCTCTGCAATCCTGGGATCTCTGCCTAGGATGGGTGAAATCCCTGCTCAGCAACCTCAGACCAGGGCCAGCTGTAACCCATGGTTGTTCCCTGCTCTCCCAGGTGACTTGTTACCATCTGACGGCATCCTGATTCAAGGCAATGATCTGAAAATTGATGAGAGCTCTTTGACTGGGGAGTCGGACCACGTCAAGAAGTCCCTGGACAAGGACCCCATGCTGCTTTCTGGTAAGCCCAGCAGACATGCCCTATGAGAGCTGGAAAACCCAGCCAGTCTCCCAACCCCTTACAGTGCAGGGGTGCAGCGGGCTGCATGTTCAAATGGCAATGCGGTGTCACCTTCATGATGGTGACAGAACAGACCATGCTCATCCTGAGAGCTAGAGGGTGGCTGGAGGTGCCTGAGCTCTCTTCAGTTTGTCTGGGGGTCTAGGCAGCACAGAGTGGGCCAAGTGCAAGCCTGTCTCCTCCTACGAGTGGGTTTAGGTGGTGGTCAAGCAGACCTGGAGCCTGAATCTTCCATGTATCCATGGGTCAGGCACAGCATAGGGTGGGAAGCAGCAGAACAAAGTTCCCTGACAACTTGATCCTACCAGCCTGCTCCAGCCTTGCCCCAGAGGGACTTCCATACCACCGTGGTGGTGGGTGCCAATGTACTGGCCCACCTTGATTGCTAGGCCCCTCTCTTGAGGGGAAAATTAGCAGTTCATTCACTCCTTGGTGTTTCTGCTGAAATGAATAGGATGGTGTCAATCATCATGATGAGGACACTTGTCTTACAGGAACCTGGAAAGATACCCATTGAAGTCACTTAATACAAGGCACTGAATAGGCTGGATGGGGGTAATTTACTCTGAGACACTGACCTGGGCTAGCTTTGAACCGGCGATCCAGAAGCGATGGGACCTGTAATGCAGTCCTCCGAGTTGGCCAGTCCCATGTTTAGAGAGTCGGGGAAGAAGTGTCAGCATTGTCTCCTCATAGTTCACTCTTTCTGCTCCCCTGGCCAGGTACCCATGTGATGGAGGGCTCCGGGAGGATGGTGGTGACTGCTGTGGGCATCAACTCGCAAACTGGAATCATCTTCACTCTGCTGGGTGCAGAAGGAGATGAGGAGAAGAAGGTGAAGAAAGGTAAGGAGCTTTCTGGGTACCCAGCCTTTCTTCTCTGTCTGGGATGTCTCTGCTGGAACGTGGCGAGTCGTGTCCGTGGCTGACGGCTGAGGGTGAATACGCAGCCCTGGTAGCGTGTAAGACTGAGTAGGGTGATGTGAAGCCTGGGGGGACCAGGCTGTTGCCATCTGGTCACAATGCAGCGAGTGCAGGGAGCGTGTGGCCTAAAACCCACTCCACGCCTAGGACACTTTCTGGGTCCCCCAATCCTCAACTCCTCTCGGATGCAACTTCCACCTCTCTTGCTCTCCATCCCAAACTGCAGCTGGAGGGGAAAGACGAGGGCTTGTGGGGCTGACAATGGAATTGCTGTTGGTGAGGTGACTTGGGCAGGGAGGGTGTCGAGGGAGTAAGGGTGGCTGCAGTGATCAGTGTCCTTCAGGCTGTCCCATTCCCAAAGGCATCTTTGACAGCCTTACTTTTTCTGCTGGTTCTCTCTCTCAGTCCAAGAGAGAAGACCCTCCTTTGCCTGCCTGAGGTGTGTGGGGGTGGAGGATGGATCCTTTCTGTACTTGCTTTGTTGGCACTGTCAGCCTCAGGTGGGTGGTTTTCTCCCTGATTTTGGTGGGTAGGAAAGTAATACCCTCAGCATCCCTCCCTGGTGCCCTATCATCACATTAGTGCAGTGTGTTTGGGGAGCCTTGACCTCTTCGCCTCAGGGCCACCTTTTTTTTGCCTAGCGAGGTACTCTGAGGCCCCAAGGGAAGCGTTTTGGGGCTCTTGGCCTGTCTGTTCTCCAGC